GTAGCCTAAGCCACCTCAGTTCAGAAATTGTGCCATTTAGCAAAGCTGTTGACATATACATTCTAGTAATCAAGCTCCAATCTGACTACTCAGCTGATCAAGTCATGTTATTTTTGCTTACCTGGTTTTGCATACTCATGTTTCTCAAAAACAGTTTGCTTACTCCTTTATCCTTACCCCCCCAATACTTAAACTTTTTTTTTTTTTTTTAAGTAGGCTCCACACCCAGCATGGAGCCCAACGTGGGGCTCAAACTCATGACTCTGAGATCAAGACCTGAGCTGAGATCAAGGGTAAGACACTCAACTGGCTGAGCCACCCAGGTGCCCCGCCCCATACTTAAAGCAAAATCTAACAGGTTTCTGTTAAAACTGATGCTTCGAAGCCTAGTTAATTCTTAGAGTCTGAGCAACTAGCAGTTCTCTGCAACTTGCATGTGATCTGATTTCCCAGCTTGCTAGGGAAACTTCTATCTTTAGGAAACTACCTATCCTCATTAGTCCTGCAAGATATTCTCTGAAAGCACTGCAAATATGGAAAATAACAAGATGGTAATATGACAAGTATTAAAAATAAGGAGAAGATGTATGCACAGAGACAATGAAAGGTACATGGGTATCACAGTCCTGACCCCACCAAAAGAAAGGGTGGAGAAAACAGTAGTTGAACTATAAGAGACCAGTCTAAACTAAAGAAGGGAAAAGGGAAAGGAAGCAGGGTTTTTGTAGCAAAAGTATTAACAACCTAAGTTGCAAAGAAACTATTTCCAGGGTACTTTATTTTTATGTTTTGCTATTTGTCTTGTCATCTTCCCAATTTCACAGGCTCCTGAGGTATGAAGAAACTAAATTTTAAGTTACCTAATCAAGAGGTTCCAAATGCCAGTCCAAGAGAACAGGTTAGCTGTATCAGAATCACTTAGGGAAGGAAATTTTTGAAAAAAGTTATCTTTCCCCTCAAATTCCAAAATCTCACCTCCTCTTCCCACCCCCAAACATACAAAATCAGGATTGAATAAGCCCAAACTCCTCTGCAGGGCACTGTGACATACAAGTTCGGGAAGCTGATTATTTCACCCATGTCTGACTATCTCCTGTAACAGGAAACTTATTACCTCCAAAATAGCATGTTCTATTCATTAAGGGGGAGGGGGGTAAGAACGATTTTAGATTTTAGAGTCATACGGGTCTGAATGCCAGCCAGCTTTTCTTCTTACGAATAGTTCTATGGCCTTCTTCTTAACTTCTAATGTATTATTACGGAAATTTTCAGACATACAAAAGTAGAGGAATATAATAAACAACCATGTATCCATCATCAGCTTCAATTATCAACATATAGCCAATCTTGTTGCATCTATAAGCACCCTATTCCCAGCTCCTCATTCTATTAAAACTCTAATTTATTACATTTCACTTGCAAATTCTTCAGTATACATCTCTAAAACATAAGAGCTCATTTAACTGCAATACCATTATTACATGAAAAAATTAGTAATTCCTTAACTTTTTTTTTTTTTTTGAAAGATTTTATTTATTTATTTGACACAGAAAGAGAGATAGCTAGAGAGGCAACACAAGCAAGGCGGAGTGGGAGGAGAAGCAGGCTCCTGGCTGAGCAGGGAACCCGATGCGGGGCTTGATCCCAGGATCCTGGGATCATGACCTGAGCCAAAGGCAGACGCTTAACGACTGAGCCACCCAGGCGCCCCAATTCCTTAACTTCTTTACATTTCCTCAATTGTAAAATAGGTATGGGTTTTTCTGTCCTCATAGGATTCTTAGGAACTCTCTACTGTCTCTGTGACTATTAAAAAAAAAAAAAAAAAAAGTGTAGTTTGAACATCTACACACAGATAAAAAGAATGTAGCTCTTAGGTTCTGAGTTCTGATCTTGGATCACTAGACAGTAAATAATTCCAGTGGTCCAGAAACCTTAATTTAAGATGATAACCACAATTCATCTAGAATGGTAATCTCAGCTCACCTGGAATAATGTTTCCCTTAGTGGATAAATGACTTTCCAATCCTGAGAAAGTTAGAATTTGAGACAGATGATAAAATAAACCAGTCATTTATAAATATTTTATTAAATTCAAGGTAATCTATGTATTGTGGTCACAATGCATATATTGTAGAGATGTGAATACATACATACAAAGGTGTGATGCAAGGAGGATTATTTGAAAGTGACCTGGATGCTCATTCTGAACTGAATGGACAATCAGGGGCTCTCTGTCTTCTACCAGTGGGAGGACTGAGCCTACACTTAGCTCCCTACAGGACTACGAGCTTCCTTTTCTCTGATAGCAGAGACTGCAACTTTCCATAGCTCCAAGATCTCCATAGATCTTCAAGTTCTAGGCAGTTGCCCTTCCCAAACAACTCCTGAAAACAGCTGAAATCCCTAATTCAGACTACAAGTGTCAGGCACCATGCCCTCATGCTGTGATGCTTCACCGGTAAAAAGGAGACCCATACTTAGGGAGGGATCTCTCCACTGGAACACTGACCCAAATGTGAATGAAGCAGTGACCTGACCTGAGCAAGATCGGAGGATCAGGTGACTAGTGCCTTTTTTTTTTTTAATTGAAGTAAAATTCACAGAACATAAAATTAGCTGTTTTAACTATTTAAAAATGTACAATTCACTGGCTTTCAGTACATTCACAATGTTGTGTGGTCATCACCACTATGGTAAGAACACTGAAACGGTCTAATTCTAGAATATTTTCATCACCCCCCCAAAAGCAATCATCCTCATTCCCGCCTTCCCCACTCCTAGAAAATACTGATCTGCTTTCTTTCTCTATGGATTTGCCTTTTCTGGACATATGATATAAAATGAATCATACAATACATGGTCTTTTGTATGTGGCTTCTTTCATTTATAATGTTTTTAAGGTTCATCCATGTTATAAACCAGGACTTCACTCTTTTTTTGTAGGTAATATTCCACTCATTCCATTCATCAGTTGATGGGAACTTGGGTTGTTTCCACTTTGGGGCTATTATGAATAAAGTTGCTATGAACAATCCAATTTTTAGAATGAGCAAAATGACTTAAGTAGAGATTTCTCCAAAAAAATATACAAATGGCCAATTAAGCACATGAAAAGATACTCAACATCATTAATCATCAAGAAATGTAAATCAAAACCACAATGATACCGTTTCATATCCATCAGGATGGCTATAATCCAAAAAAATGGAAAATAACAAGTGCTGGCAAGGATGTGGAGAAACTGCAACTCTCATACATTGCTGGTGGGATGTAAAATGATGCAACCACTATGGGAAGCAGTTTGGTAATGCCTCAAAACGCTAAACATAGAATTACCAGCAATTCCTCTTCTAGGTATACTCCCCCTCCGCTCCTGCCCTTTTTTTTTTTTTTTGGATGACTCATGGCTTAAAGTTTCCCCTTCTTTTTTTTTTAAAAGATTTTATTTATTTATTTGACAGAGAGATAGAGAGAGAACACAAGTAGGCAGAGGGAGAGGGAGAAGCAGGCTCCCCGCAGAGCGGGGAGCCCGATGCGGGACTCGATCCCAGGACCCTGGGATCATGACCTGAGCTGAAGGCAGCCGCTTAACCGACTGAGCCACCCAGGCGCCCTCCCCTTCTCCTTTTAAATACTTTAGAAAATGACTGTTATTTTGTAAAAACAAAAACCACAAGATGACAGAGATATTAAGAGAAAATAATTTGACATTATATTTAGGATTTCAATTTAAAATGTATAATTAACTTGTGATTTCTGAAAGTATTAAAGAGATTATGTGACTAAATTTGTAAATACTGAAAAGCTTAAAAGAACATATTCTTAGTGTGAGCTGTAGTCAAAATACACTTATAAAACATTGTATTAGTTAAGATTTTCCTCTTTTCTGATAACATCATCCAAAAATATCCTCATCTCTTTTTCTAAGTCTCCTTACTACCTGCTTCTTTCTCCAAAATGGCTTTTCAAAGTCACAATTCAAGATATACCCATCAAAAATCATGCAAAATTCGATTATTTGTGGGTGGGGGGATAGGATAACTGGGTAATGGGCATTAAGGAAGGCATGTGATGTGATGAGCACTGGGTGTTATATGCAACTGATGAATTGTTGAACACTATATCTGAAACTAATGGTGTACTATGTGTTGGCTAATTGAATTTAAATTAAAAAAAAAAAAAATCGCTTCTCCTTCCCTAAAGGCTAGTTGATTCCTAGTGCCTAGAGAGTAGTTAAGTGCTGATCTAATTAGCTGAATGCTGTAATTCACATTAAGGGGAGAATGAGGCTTAAACATTCCCAAGATCCACAGATATTATAAGAGCAAAATAGAAATCTGCAATGATATACTGTATTTGCAAAGGAAAAGTCTAAACCCTGCTGCCTTTCTTCTGAGGGAAGAAGATATCCTTTCCCAGCTACCCTTAACTAATTTTTACAGATAGTAAGACAATATGAACTCAGCAACTACACCACATAGGCTATACATTCTTGACTTTCATCAATATAGGTGTTTAAAGAGTCCTTTAATGGCTTTTATTTCCCTCCCTCCCTTTATTCCATTCATTCATTCATTCATGGTTAAAATCAACAAAACATTATATGGGAAAATTCCCATAATTGGGTTAAAACCCAAAATTCCTTGTTTACCCTGAAAAATTAAAGAGATAATGAAGAGAAAGTAGGACCATATATAATGAGAGGACATGGAGAGACATAAAAATTATCTTAAATGCCTATCAGTGACAGCCAGATCCTTGATTAGGTTTTTTAAAAATTTATAATCCTATTAAAAATATTAATAGCAACTAATTGTTCAATTGACCTAAACACATTTAATCCTTTCCCACACAATCTAAGATTCACAGCACATTTAAGAATAAAGAAAACAAGATTCAAAATGAAAAATAGTTCTTTTATCTAATAAATTATATACTTAAACATGAATTCTGTGTTATACTACTAAGTTTGAGAAGTTAGTAAGAAAAGACTATACCTGAGATATCTGGCCCTGGACTTTTGTAAACTGAGTTGTTCGAATATTTAAAGACTGGCTTCTTGTTACTGTTGCCCCAGAAGATTTTCCATTCACCTTTCTTTCAAAGTGACAACTTGCTGGTGATCGCTCTTCAAGAAGAACAGCATCCCAAGGATCCTCTGCTAGTAAACCTGGAATATTTTTCTCTTCTTCATGGTCTAATACCTCCACATTGTCCACCTTAGGTTTACTTAGGGGATCCAAGTCTAACCAGTCGAATTTACTTATATCTTCAGACTTTGGAGATATCTGTAGATTGCTGACTGTTGCTTTTGAATTTGTTATCTCCAAATCAGTCCTCGCTTTTCCATTTTTTAAAAATTCTGATGTACTAGCTATTTTGTCAAACAGCTTTGCCATGTCAGGACTGACTACTGGATGATAGAAAGGTAAGCTTCCTTGTGGATGAAAGGGCGTGGCAGGTGTCAAAGGGTATGAAAAATATGGAGACTGTCCTGGAAAAGTTAAATATATAGGTTCTGTGGACGGAAAGGTAGGCATTCTTGGATTGAAGCCATTTTGGAATGCAGTCTGTTTACTGCTATAAGTTGACTGATAAATAGAAGGTAAAGTATAAGTGGAAGGCCCAGATAATCCAGGTGGCCACTGTCCTCTCTGAAGAGTAGGTCTAAGATAGACCTGTGTTGAAAATGAAGGGCTCAGAACAGGAGTAACTGGCAAGACAGGTGTTTTCCTGGTCTCGAAACTGTCATCCAGCAGTAGTTTCTCAAGTTCAGCTTGGGTGAGCTTTTCTACATCAATATCTACTGCTCTTTTTTGGGTATCCGATTCAGGAAACACCATGAGATCATAATCCTGTTTGTTATAAACTTGTGCTTTCTGTCTGGTGTTGCTTGACAACTCAAAGCCTCTCTGATTATCAGTCACTCGTCTATCCTTTTGCAGTTTTGCTAAAGCCTCTGCTTCCATCTGTAATGCTTCTTCTTTGTCCACTTCTTTTGTTCTTGTTGGTTCCAGATGTGATGAACATTGCTTAAATCCATTATTGTTGGATATCTGAGCCATGTCCATTTAAAAGACCAAACCTTCCCTAATCTATTTTTTCTTGAAGCTTCCAAAATAGCAAGACCTATACATAAAAATAAACATAACACTCAATTAGATTTTTTTAAACACAAATAAATTTATTTTGTTTGTAACTTACCTCCTATGATTTAGGATTTAAAGCCACTTACAAATAAACCACCAAATCAAGATAAAATGAACAGTTGTGGGAAATCTGGGTGAAGAAACATTTTTTTTTTTTTTTAAGATTTTATTTATTTATTTGAGACAGAGAGAATGAGAGACAGAGAGCATGAGAGGGAGGAGGGTCAGAGGGAGAAGCAGACTCCCCGCCGAGCAGGGAGCCCGATGCGGGACTCGATCCCGGGACTCCAGGATCACGACCTGAGCCGAAGGCAGTCGCCCAACCAACTGAGCCACCCAGGCGCCCGGTGAAGAAACATTTTTAAAATATCTTAAACACTGCTGGGTTAAGGGATATGTTTAGACATACATGACTTTACCTCATTCCCTGACCTAACAGGAAAGCTAGCACTGTAAATGAACTCAAGAACCTTTCAGGGCGCCTGGGTGGCTCAGTAGTTAAGCCTCTGCCTTCAGCTCACGTCATGATCCCATGGTCCTGGGATCAAGCCCCGCATCCAGCTCCCTGCTCAGTGGGGAGCCTACTTCTCCTCCCACTCCCCCTGCTTGTGTTCCCTCTCCCTGTCAAATAAATAAATAAAAATATTTAAAGAACCTCCCATTTCAGGTGTCACAATGGCTGCTGTTAACCAACAGCACTTTTGGCAGGACTCTTGGCACAAAATGGCTAAGTGCTAGTCACATATTTTCAAGAGTCTGAACAGGGTTTACTGTTATGCAAACAGCAAGTTAAAATGGTTTCAATCTTTTGCTATTTGTTAAATAACTCATAAGCCAATTAGCAATAAAAGTACTCAATATCTAGTCAACGAAATCAAGGAACTATTATCAAAACATCATATGAAAAACTGATAAAGGGTTTATAATATTCTACAACTATTAATGTATAATGTAACATAAATTAGAAAAATAAGAGTGTTAAAGCTACAAGAAGCTGCAATACTCCACTCAAAGGTTAAATTACGGCTGAATTTGTCACAGTTTTGACCACACTTCTATTGGATTATATGTAGTTAAATCATTACACTACTGGGGTACCTGGCTGGCTCAGTTGGTGGAGCATGTAGCTCTTGATCTCAGGGTTATGAATTCGAGCCCCACGTTGGGCACAGAGTTTAAGAAAATAGTTATAATACTAAAATTTCTCCTTTTTAAATTGCTAAAATATTTATTCATAAACCAGAATAGTTCATTAAACTTTCTCATCGATCAGTTCATAAAAATTTGTAGTCTTCTATTTAAGATAAACACATTTTAGATCAAAATTACCCTTTGAATCAAGATAACCAATTAAAGGGTTAGCTACTGTGTAACAAGGCCCATTTCTTGCTTCTAATCAATATGATTCAGGGGTTAATTTTGGGTTCTGGAGTCACATCAGCTTGATTTAGGAGGCTGTAAGAGCTTGGGCAAGTGAAAACATTTCCACAAGCCTTAGTTTCCTAACTTTTAAAATGCAAAAGTATCGGGCGCCTGGGTGGCTCAGTCGTTAAGCGTCTGCCTTCGGCTCAGGTCATGATCCCAGGGCCTGGGATTGAGCCCCACATCAGGCTCTCTGCTCCGCGGGAAGCCTGCTTCTCCCTCTCCCACTCCCCCTGCTTGTGTTCCCTCTCTCGCTGTGGGTCTCTCTCTGTCAAATAAACAAATAATATCTTTAAAAAAATAAAAAATAAAATGAAAAAGTATCTATCCCCGATATTATAAGGATTAAATGAAACAACGCAACTAAAAAGTGCTTATCACTGGCTTTGAGCATAAGCATTAAATAAATCACATTATTAATCTAACTGATTTGAGATTCACCTAGTTTGAACACCTAGAAATCAAGGGAGCTCCTACTTACATCCTTTTTCTAGCACAGTGCTTCTCTAAAGTATATATGGAATAAAAGTTTAATGACAGGAGGTAGGGAAACACTCAAAGTGAATTCAAATTAATGTAACACAAATGAAAATCCTAAGTGTTGAGGTAATACTAATGAAAAATTATTAGTGATGAGGACATAAAGAAATATTCAAGGAAGACAGCCTTTGCAGTTCTTTTATACGACTATAGTTGAACTTCTGAGGCATTTCACTGAAAAGCTTTTCCAAATTTTTCCCTTCTGTGGTAGACTGCAAAACTAGGCACAACGTACACTTAAAATTTGTATACTTCATTGTATGTAAATATTTCATCTCAAGGAAAAACTGTAAACAGATGCTTTTACTAAATATACACAAACTACTTAGAGGAAAGTACTGATGTCTACTATTTACTCTGAAATTCATTAAAAAATAATATAAGTGGGGCGCCTGGGTGGCTCAGTTGGTTAAGCAACTGCCTTCGGCTCGGGTCATGATCCTGGAGTCCCGGGATCGAGTCCCGCATCGGGCTCCCTGCTCAGCGGGGAGTCTGCTTCTCCCTCTGACCTTCCCCCCTCTCATGCTCTCTCTATCTCATTCTCTCTCTCAAATAAATAAATAAAATCTTTAAAAAAAAAAAATAAAAAAAATAAATAAATAAAAAATAATATAAGTTGGGGCGCCTAGGTGGCTCAGTCGTTAAGCGTCTGCCTTCGGCTCTGGGATCAGGCCCCACATCGGGCTCCCTGCTCAGTGGAAAGCCTGCTTCTCCCTCTCCCACTCCCCTTGCTTGTGTTCCCTCTCTCGCTGTGTCTCTCTCTGTCAAATAAATAAATAAAACTTTAAAAAAAATAAGTTAATTAGCTGTGAGAGGGATAGATGGATGAACGTGATAAAGCAAGTACAGGAAAATATTAATAGAACAATCTCGTTGGCGGGCACGCCTGGGTGGCTCAGTCGGTTAAGCGACTGCCTTCGGCTCAGGTCATGATCCCAGGGTCCTGGGATCGAGTCCCGCATCGGGCTCCCTGCTCCGCGGGGAGCCTGCTTCTCCCTCTGCCTCTGTCTCTCTCTCTGTCTCTCATGAATAAATAAATAAAATCTTTAAAAAAAAAAAAAAGAACAATCTCGTTGGTAGGCATATGGGTATTCACTTTGAAATCCTTTCAACTTGGCTGCATGACTGAAAATTTTCATAAAATGCTGGATGAGGAAGAAGAGGTACAAATTCCTCCCATTCCAGTACACACTTACCCTTTATAAAGTTACTTTGCTTCTCCTCCCATTAAGGGGTGGGGTCTATTTCTCTACTTGATCTGAGCTAGCTCTGTGACTTGCTTTGACCAATACAATATGAAAGAAGTGACACTGTGGGAGTTCCAAGTTCATGAGAGCCTGACTGCTTCAGCTCTTCCCGAGAGCAGCCACTGCCATGTGAATGCTCACAGAGGATGAGAGAGCACTAGGAGAAAAAGGTCCAGCCGACAGTCATCACCAACCACAAAATATGAGTGAAGCCACCACCTTAGACCATTCATCCACAGTCTAAATGACCACATCCACATTAGTGACCCAAGGCAAGACCAGCAGAAGAAACCACCTAGCCTGAGTTCAAGCCAAATTGCTAACCCACAAAATCATTTTGGAATGGTTTGTTACATAGCAATAGATAACTGGTCAACCTTTTCTTCTCATTTTTAGAAAGCAAAATTGAAGCCACTTACCAGTTTAACAGCAAATTTGTTTTAACTTCCACAGCCACCACTACCACCTTCCTTCAAGTGTCCTCAGAGAATGAACAGTTCCCTTTTCCTTCCTAAATCTGTCCCCTTCTACATGATCCTTAATCCTACTGACTACTTCTTTATCAGTGATTGCCTCCTCTGCATTATTTTCTCTTACTTGCTTCTGCTCCACTGCCATAAAAATGCTCAAATTTTCTACATACTGAGGTGGAAAAAAATCTTAACATTCCTCTTTAGACTCCAGTAGCTTCCATTTTAATATTCTCCTTTCACTGCCAAACTTCTCAAATGAGTGACCCAGAAAGTCCTTTCTTTACTCATTCTGCCTTGGAAAAATTGTAATTGTCCTTCAGGGCCCAATTCAAATACAGCCACCTGTCTGAAGCTTTTCTTAAGCAGCTCCTATTAGAAACTATCTTTTTAGCTCAAATAAAACTTTTATCTTAATTTTCATAGACTTTATGCTGTTTTTGCCTCGTCAGTATCATTTCTTCTGGTAGTAGAATCTGTAACTTCCTTTTTGGAACCTCGTCATTTCCCTTTTGTTCCATCTAGTTCAAACAGGCCTGGAACATCCTATTCCCCACTCTCCTACCCCCAACCACACCAGAGGATCCAAGTCTGGCCAATTAGAGTTAATCCCAAGACTTCTGAAACTATTTGGAAAGGAAGCCTATCATTGAAGCTGCTAAACTTTTGGGATATAAGCCTGGCATTGCTGTGGCCATCTTTGCCTCCACTCACTGAAGAAGATGCTGCCTGAGAACGGATTCAAGCCAGAAGAGAGCAGAGCTATGATAAATAAATTAAAATAATTTCTGGATATTACATTAAGTGTCTGGATCCAACCCATGTCCAAGGCCAGTCTTTTCATTTATGTAAGCCAATAAATTCTTCTCTTTGCTTAAGCTGGTTTAAAATTACTTTCTCCCATAATAACCAGAAACCTCTTAACACAGACTCTATGTCTACCCAACAGACGAATAAGCTTCTTAAGTGCAGAGACCTACTTTCTTTCTTCCCTACAACATTTAAAAGCACCCAGCTTAATTAATATGGAGCTTAATTTAATGAACATGTGTTTTAAAGAAGGAAATAAGAGCTATCACACAACTTTGAAGAAGAGATTTCAGATGGCACATGACCGGAATATATGATGGGAGAAATTAAGTTTAACTGCCTATTATTGAACACCACAACATGGTCTAGTTTTCACAAAATCAGATGGATTAGAACAAAACATTTTGCAAAGGGAAGAAGATACTGAACTGCAATTAATCTTCCACAAGCATACTGCCAATTTATTTAACCATCTTCCTGGCTACCATATT